ATTCTGTAAAGTGAACTTCATTTTTCAAACATAATGGAAAAAAAATGTTGAAAATACTCAATTTCCTTCGTTAATATTATTGATGGTTTTTCTTGCCAATATTTTAACAACAAAATATTACTTAATTTGCTTCAACTATAGACAATTATACTTTTTTTTCTACAAGTGGCATTATCTATTACTTATATCAGAAGCTGGTATTTGCGTTCCCAGATATCTTTTTTCCATAAAACCCTGGCTTCAATCTCTGCCCAAAAGTGTGTTGGGGCGTTTTGTGAAAGACTTTGGACAACCGCAAAAGTAAATCAAAAAAGCCGCAAAAATATCTTACAAATATCATAGGCATAGTCCATATCATAAGGCCAATTAATCTGGCAGTGCAATATTATGATGGTGTCGATTACCCAAACAGACAGCCACGAGCCACTGACACGTGGCCAGGGATTCAGCTTTCTCGAGAGGATGTTGCTCCGGCGAAAGCAGGCTGTCAAGTAATCCCCTGCATAATGTTGCCTAAATGCGAGCGCGTGTCAAACTTAGCCCGCGATTCGCCCAGGATAGACTTTAGTTCGGCACAGGAAAAAATCAATATATTTTTAAGAATCTTTTAATAAAGCTCACTCCCTTTAATCAAAAACCTTCCAAAATTAACTACCAAATTGAACTCATGCAAATTATTTCTGTTATTTTTCTATACAAATGTTAATTTATAAGTGTTTTGATTTTGATTATTTTGTTATTTGGAATTAAATTTAATATATTTTAAAAAATTAAATTTTTGTAGTATCTAACGTAACAGTAATAGCTTTTGTAACATATTTAGTTGTTGCCTTTTTAATGGATCAATAATCGACTATTGAAAAACGAATATAACTTAGCCATAATAAAAATATATTATCTAAATAAATATACATATAGTGCGATTCTTAATATCATTTAATTTGTTAATTTTCAATTGGCAGGGCCCTTGTTCGTAGGTAATAGTTTCCCGCTTTCATAGTAGGCCATAGTTAAATGGCCTACAATATTGATGGCAGTGTTTTCCGCTTTTTCGCGGTGCAGTCTTCAATCTGTGTTCTCCAGAAGCGTCTGCCAGCTTCCAAGTTTCCAATCCGATCTCTGGCAGACTTCCCTCCAAATCTGCCGACGTCAAAATGCGGGGAGCAACTCTTCTTCAGCGGCGGCTCAAACGGAGGCCGCCATTGTGTGTCGGGGCCAAATGATGTGCCAAACTGACACTTGCCGATACTCAGATACGGCTACTCAAACACCATTAAGGCGGGTGTTGCACCAAACGGGGTGTAGGGGGGACTTACCATATAGAGGGGTTCGGCGGGCGTTGGCATATTCCTGTTGATATTTGCCGGAATGATTGTTAGTTTTATTTTATTTTGTGACAATTTCAGCAGCAACAGCAGGAAATAATAAAAATGCAAACAAATCGTTAGATTTTCCTATTGAAGTGTTTTACCCCCTCCCCCGCGCACCCACTGTTTGTGTGTGTGTGTGTGTGCCAGTGTTTGTTGTCGGTGTTATTGCCTTTTGTTGCCCGTGTCGTTGTTGCTGGTGTCGTTTGGCTGGTTGTTTAGATGCACAGTGGGACAATTGGGTGCAGTGTATTGGTATTTCAGAAATCCTTAAAGAACGGAAAACATACAGTTCTATTTCAACGGTTTCATAAGAAAATACATTATTTTTCCGGTGTATAAAATAAATACAATATAATTAAAAAAAAAAAGGTATTCAAAAAAATACCTCAAATTTAATATTAAAAATTTTTTCTGATACATAAATTTTCATTCAAGTATTACATACATATTTACAATTTCCTACCATTAACTGAGCTTATCGACATTCATAAAGAGACTTTTATAACTAATTGTTAACTAATAAAACATTTGTATTTATATTAGCAAAAAAACATTATTCTGGTTAATAAATAACACAAACGGCTAACTGAAATATTTAAGCCGACTTATATTTAAGTTCAAATAAATGCAAAAGCAGCTTAAACGTAATGTGTCGACAGCGAAATGTAACAAAGATTTATATAATTATTCCTGAAAGTACCTACTCTGCTTTAAATTAATAATGAATTTCATTGCATTTTTAGATAGCGATCGGCAAAAACAAAGTAAACGGAAACACTCAAATGTGTTCATGTAATCATTTATCAAATATCGGCGGTAAAACAAAACAGGAAGCGTCGATCAATTAATTAGAAGTTCCAGAATTCCACCTGATATCATTTCGATTGGAGTCAATTTATGAGCACCGAAAATCGAATCCGGCCCACGGTGACGGCGATGATGATGACGTTGGAAGCTGCGATATCAGAGGCTGAGACGATGGACCCCAGAGCTGAGAACCGAACTGAAGCCCGGCAATTTGTGCAATTTTTCTTGTTTAGATTGTTTTCGGTGTTTGCGTTGTCGCCGGGCTGTGTGCTTGGTTTTATGCCTGCGATAAGCCCGCACACTGCCCATAACCATTCTCATATTATTTGTAAGGATTTTTGCATTTATTGCCAGCGCTTTCAAGGATTTGCCTCGCACCCGAGCCCAAACAGAGACCCCATTCCATACCCAATCCCAATCCCAATCCCGATCCGAATATGGCTGCAGTAGTTATCTTAATAGTTATCAGGCGATTGTTGTTGTTGCAGTTAGTGCGTGGAGCGGCCACTTTATTCGCCAGTTAAATTTGATGCCATTTAACGGGCTGCGGCAATGGAGACGTTTGCCCTCTCGTGCCGTAAATCCATTAAATTGCCCCAAATTAAACTAAACTAAAATGCGGAGCCGGAGGGCAGGAAAAAAAGGAGCGAAAAACAGTTGCCCTGGATGTGTGACAAAACTGTTGAAGACTTGTAAATAAACTGTTGGAACGAGAGCGGCAATTACACGCCCCGCATTAACATCCACACGGAACCATAACTCAACTCGAGCTGCAACATCCACACGGAACCATAACTCAACTCGAGCTGCAACCCTCGGGCTGCAAGGGTTGTGTCTCGAGGTGCCTTCATAATTATGTATCTTGAAGGTGCCGGGAAATGCCGCTGACAGATACAGGACAACCTACCTACAGCAGATCCTCGGCACATATCCGCTGACAGAGTGATGGAATGGCCGTACCCGATCCGGAGTTATTCCCTCATTCCTGCGATGACAGTTTGTCAGTTGACAATCAGCAAGTTGGCATATTAACCGTGTTAATTACTCACTGACGGCATAACTCTGTCATGTATCCGGCAGATAAGTAGAGCAGATGTTGCAGTTAATATCCGAGTGAAGAAGTCGCCGGTGGAAAGTGCTGTGGACGCAAGCTCAGCTTGGGATTATCTTTTAAAAAATAATAGGTAGTTAGACCGTACTTTTTTATTTTTAAGATCTAAGCACTAAAACGAATTCTGTATTTTAAAAAATATATATTATTCTCTCTGAAAGACATATGTAACTTTATCGAAGGATTCCGGTTATTGACAAGATTATTCCTAAGAACCATTATATAGTCCGGAATCTAAATAAATTACCTTATTTATTATTAAAAATCTATTCTTGCTTGGGAAGTCTATATAAAAGACTAATAAGAATTCTATAAATATATTAAATAATATATGCATTAAAATGTTGTCAACTAAACTTCTATTATACTTACAATACTCTAAAGCTTCTAAATGGGAGCCTCTTTGGTCCCCGTTATAACAGCCTAGCTAAAGATCTTTTTTGGCTAATCCAATCTACGCACATTCCATTGTTTTATGGCCACCTGGCAAATGTAAAGATGTAAATGACATTTCCAAATCGAAACCAGTTCAAACATCCATCACGGCGAGTCGCACAAAAAGCCAAAAGCGAATGCGCCACAAACAACCTGGCTGGGAGACAATAACAATAACAATAACCGAAGACACACTCAGAACTCAGCGGGTGTCCGTCATTAAAAAGATGACAAAGCGATGTCAACAAGAAATTTTTTGATTAACGACTAAAATGCCAGAGAGCCAAGCGATCGGGCGATGCGATCGAGCCGCGTTGAGTGGAATCGAAATGGAGACAACACAACCGAAATAAGTTAACCAGAAAAAAAGCTAACGATAAAAAACAGACAAAACCAGGCAGCAAAAATTTGTTGAAGGTAAAATATCAATTTAAAAGGCAATAAAAATATTTCATTGCTATGGATCAGATCAGGCTCTGCGTTGCTGGCCCCGTCGATACTCCGTTTCGATTTCGAATTAAAAGATTATGACGATAATAAACTTGACTAATCATTATACCCGTTACTCGTAGAGTAAAAGGGTATATTGTATTCGTGCAAAAGTATGTAACAGCTAGAAGGAAGCGTTTCCGACCCTATAAAGTATATATATTCTTGATCAGGATCACTAGCCGAGTCGATCTAGCCATGTCCGTCTGTCCGTCTGTCCGTCTGTCTGTCCGTCTGTCTGTCTGTCTGTCTGTCTGTCTGTCTGTCTGTCTGTCTGTCTGTCTGTCTGTCCGTATGAACGCTGGGATCTCGGAAACTATAAAAGCTAGAGGATTGGCATTTTGCATGTAGATTTTAGAAGTTCCTACGCAGCGCAAGTTTGTTTCAAAAAGGTGCCACGCCCCCTTTAACGCCCACAATCGCTTATATACGATTTTAAAAATTTAAATATTTCGGAAAAGTAAAAAAGCAGTTTTATTGTGTTTATCAATACCTATCGAAATGTAGAAGAAATTTTTAAAATCGAACCATTCGTTAAAAAGTTATGCGTGATCAAAGTTTCTATCTCCATCTCCCTCGCACTCCCTTTACTTGAGTAACGGGTATCTGATAGTCGGGGCACCCGACTATAGCGTTCTGTCTTGTTTTTATTGCAGTCGGTCCAATCTGTTACCACGAAAAATCTCGGAAATCGTTTTCGGGTTTTCCCAGAACCCCGATCGAGATAAACCTTTTAGGGGAGATGCGACCCGAAAGAAAACTCGAAGATGGTTTATTAATTTTTCATAACTTAAATACATATATTTATTTGTTCTTCTCAATAGATTCACTTTTATTTGCATTTTTCTTAGTTTTGTTTTTTGCTTGGGCTTGCGTAATAAATTATGAGACTATGCTTATGCTTACGAACAGAGTGGGATACATTCGAACCCGTGTATAATTTAATTGTGGTAATCAATACGTGTACGATCGCTCATAGACTTACTTAGCACTAGGGTTAATCCTTCCAATGAAGTGAAATTAGGTGTGTGGGTGTGTTTCTGTGTGTTTGTGGGTCGGGGATGGTCCCCTCGGCTAACAACTAAATTAACTATGAATGTTAGATATCTTTTGTGGTTCTTTCATCTGTGATATGGAAAGCATTTTGCCGGGGCTTCGAATGGGTTTCCCCCGTGGCCACCGCAACCGTAATTTGTATTTCTTTTTTTTTTTACATTTAATATCACAATTTCTCATATATATTTTTTTAATTTTTTCCATTTTTATTCCTAACCCATTCTCGAAAGCAAAGCGTTTGGATTTCGAAATGTGTGTTTAATATTAATTATGTGTGTATGTGTGTAGGAAGTATGTACAATAAGTGGAAAATAAATCTAATTTACGAGTAGTAGGAAACAAAAGCCTGCGCTCGGCGTTCGCATCTAAATTTATAGCATGTCATATTATTGCACATTCCAAATAGATTATTAACATGTATGCGTATGCGTGTGTCTGTGAGTGGTTTGGTTATCATATATCATATATATATATCTATACGTATGTACACATGTCTCGCTTAGGTACCTATTATAGTTATATTAGCATATACCTTAAGATTTGCTTTAAATTCGAATTTTGATTTTACTACGCCTTCACTCTCTGCTTCAGCTGCCTCGGATCCATTCTTATTTTTGGATCCGTTCTTAGTTTTGTGGAACATGAAACGCTATCAGTCTCTCAATACCAAGCAGCCTTTGGTTCCACCTTCAATTTTTACTTCCAGGTCTTTCGGCATTCGACTTTACTTTCGCATAGCTGGAACACAAATCGCTTTTGATGCATCTTTGGATACGTTTCATGATCCCTCCTTTAGTATTGGTGATCGTGTATTCAGCGGATTTCTCCGCGAACGCGCCAGATCATAAAAAATTGTTTATGAAAGTGCTCGGGGCAATCGATTATGGATCAGCCCGTTTGCAGTTGGAAACTTTTCACTTTTCATTCGGAACAACAATCAAATAATATTTTTGTGGGCAACAATTTATAAATATAAAGATTTGTGTACACGACTGATCTTCACCAGAGTCACCGCCTCTTCCCCTCTCATTTCGCTCTAAATCTTGAGATCATTTGGTTGCGAGAATCGATTGCATCTTGACTGAGTCTGAGTCCTTTTATTTCTAGCCAAGTGATCTTGATCGCCGGCCAGCGATATTGATCGTAATCGTGCTAGTGTCGAGTGTTTACTTATTCGCGATCATCGTTCCACTCACTCATCTAAAATGAAAGAGAGCAAAAAAGGGAAAAGTTTGGTTAGTAAAAGTGAATTGATTGTTTTGGGGGGCTTATATAGAGATGATTATGGGTTGTTAAGGGATTTGGTGGGTTGCTTATCGGTAGCAAATAAGAATATAAAATTAAAATTCCCACAAAAGAAAAAGTGCCAAAGTTTGATGATGACTTTTAAGACTATTCTTTCCCAGTTATTAAGACCAATAAAAAAACAAAATAGAGGATTGGGATAGGTTGGATTGGAATGGGATGGGGATGATTGGAAGACTTACATACTTTACGGCACGATTTCTGAAGGTCTCTTGCTCCATGTCGCGGATTTTATGAGTTAGCATGTGTTGCTTCAGGTTGCCCTGGAAAATTTAACGAAAAAAGGGAAATTTTTCATCAGAATTTTGGTTTAAATTATTCTGTCTAAGCGTAATCCCCATTTGCAAACCCCCCAAATAACTTCCATAGTGCTATAGGTATAGGTAACTCACCTTGGTTGTGAAGCCGCGATCGCAGATGTTGCACTTGAAGGGCCGCTCCTTGGTGTGGCTCCTGTAGTGGATCTCCAGCGCCGAGTGGCAGGGGAATGTCTTGTAGCAGATGCCGCAGGTGGTGCTGCCGCGCACCCCGCTCAGCGCCAGTGGGTTGAAAGGTGCCGCCGGCATCACGGACTGGGCGATCTGGTTCATGGCATTGCACATGTTCTGGGTGGTGGCGGGCGGGAAGAGCGGCAGGTTGGGGAACATGCCGAAGGGGGGGCGGGCGCCCATCATCGGATTGGGCGGTGGTCCCGCTCCGGGTCCCGCCTCCTGCCGCTGATTGGTCCGCTCCGGCGGACTCTGCCGCTGGGCCACTGCTGCTGCTGCCGCCGCTGCTGCGGCCTTCTGCTGCGCCTCTGCAGCCTCGCGACGCAGTTGCTCCTGGTGCTGGTGCAGTGCCGCCATCTGTTGGTGGTGATGGTGCTGGGCCGCCGCAGCCGCTGCCACTGCCGCCTGTTGCTGCATCAGGTGCTGGTGCTGCTGCTGCAAGTGGTGCTGCAGTCCAGGTGGCAGGCAATCAATGCCCACGGTGGGCGGCAGGGGGGAGGTGAGCAGAGAAGGGGGGCCATGGCCAGCGGGACCGCTGGGACTCCTAGGCAGGCTGGGCGGACTGGCTGGCTTCTCCTTCGGCAGTGGCGATCGCGAACTGGAACTGGAGGTGGGCGCCGCCCGGGGCGTAAGATCCAGAGCTCCCTGGGAAGCCTCCGATCGGGCGGGCGATGAGCTGGGCTTGGGCACCTGGTGCGAGGAGGGGTGCACGCTGGGCGAGGTGGGCGCCGAGGTGGAGCCCACCGAGTGGCCGTGACTGGAGGCGGAGGAGCGCGGTCTCACGGGATTCGTGTTCACCACTCCCGTGGCATCAATCCTCAGCTTCTGCTCGAACAACAGCGACTTGAAGTCGTCTCCGGAGCGGGGTCTGTCGCCCTCCTGCTCCAGATGGCTGTTCGACAGGTGCTCCGAGGAGACATCGTCGTCGTAGTCCTCGCCGCAGTCCATGTTATCGTCCAGATCCCCCTGCGAGGACTCGGAGCCCAGGGCTCCGTTGTGGGCTCCATGATTGGGCCCGGGCGGACCACCTGGTCCTCCTGGCAGGGCGCCAAAGTGAAAGGCCGCCGCCGCGAACGGGTTCATGAAGTGACCCGGCATCATCGAGGGCGGCGGGTCCCGGATCTCGGCCGCCTGGATCTGCTCCGGCGTGAGATCTGTGGGCTCGCCGGTGTGCAGCCGGATGTGCTGCTGCAGGACCAGCGCATTGGAGTACTTCTTGTGGCAGACGGGGCACTGGTGGAAGTTGCGCATCGGCGGACGGATCTTGTGCACCGCCATGTGGGTCTTCAGGTTGCCCTTGGTGGTGAAGGCCCTGCCGCAGATGCGGCACTTGAAGGGCCGCTCACCGGTGTGCGTGCGGTAGTGCATCTGGAGGGCACTCTTGCAGGACAGCACCCGGTCGCAGACCACGCACTGGTTGGGGTCGCTGATCTTCTTGTTCTTCATCAGCTCCTTCAGCTTCATGGTCTCGCAGGTGTTCGACACCTCGATGAAGTTCTCCCACGAGTTGTCGTTGCTGTGGGGGCGTGGCAGCAGGGCGGCCATCTCGTGCTTGATGGGATTGAAGAACGGCGACCGGGCCATGTGGTGGGGGTGGTGGTGCGGGGGCGGCACTCCCGGGGGCAGGGCTCCTCCCGCAGGCGATCTCACCGGCGAGTGGTGCTCGGGGGACAGGGTCTTGGCGGTGGTGAAGTTGAGGGGGAAGCGATCGGCGAAGTAATCCTCGCGAGGTGGCAGCTGTCCCGGAGTGGGCAGGTGGTCCAGGTGGGATTGGGAGCCCGGCGAGGGTTGTGGGTGCATCAGGGCAGCCGGTTGGATGGGCTGCACCACCGGTGGGTAGCCCAAGTGGCTGTGGCGGTGGTGGTGGTGGTGCTGATGGTGGTGGGGGTGGTGATGGGGGGAGCGGTCCTGCTGCGACGGAGAGGGTGTCCTTCGCGGCTCAGTGCGGTGATCCTCCTCCTTAGCCTGCTCCTGCTCCTCCTCCACCCGCTCTTCCTTGATGCGAACCTCCAGGGGCAGAGGTTCTGGCTCTGGTTCGGAGCACTCCGCATTCTCCTCCTCGCGCTCCTCCCGCTGATCCTTCTCCTCCTCCATGGGCTCGTTCTTCACCGGCACCGTCGACTCATCCTCCTCCAGGTGCGGCGATGGCTTCCTCAGATCCGTGGGCAGGTCCTGCGGGAAGAACTGGTGTGGGGCGGCCGCTCCCAGGCTCTTGAGGATCTCCATGGGCGGACGGTAGAGGTTCTGCAGGCCGGGGAAGGCGGGCGGAAAGGAGGCGGGGGCGGAGCCCAGTGGGGGCGGGGCCGGCGAGTGGGTGGGCGAACTGTCCGTGGGCGACATCTGATCGAGCAGCGGCGGATGGAACTTGTCCATGTGCTCGGGAATGGGCGTGGCGTTCATGGGCACGTGGGGGAACTTCTGCGCATGCCGTTGGAAGTGGACCTTCAGGTTGCCCTTGGTGGTGAACCTGCTGCCGCACACGTTGCACTTGAAGGGCCGCTCGCCAGTGTGCGACCTGATGTGGATCTGGAGCGCCGAGTCCGAGCCGAAGACCTTGCCGCAGTACCTGCAGCGGTGCTTGAAGAACGGCTCGTTGCGACCCTTTCCCTCGCCCGCCTTCTCCCCGAAGGCGAAGTCATCCGCCATGCTGTTGGCCAGGATGCCCTGCGAGGCCGAGTCGAGCACCTCCTGGGCGCGCTTCTGCAGCAAGTCCAGGGAGTTCGGCTCGGGCAGATCGTCGTGGTGGGTGATGATGCTGGAGGCCAGGTCGGAGCCGAAGGGCAGGGGAGTGTTCTCCATTTCCTTCAGCTTGGCCAGCGCATCCAGTGCGGAGTCCTCCTTGTGAGTGGCCTCCAGGCTCGCTCTGCGATTAGGCTGCGCCTCGTGGTCCTGCTCCCGCCTTCTCTTCAGCGATTCCGCTGGTGAACCGGTGGACTCCCGCAGCGGGACACCCGCGTTTATCAGGTGCTGACGCGCCTTGGCCTCCGCCATCCTGGCCTCCGCCTTCTGGCGCAGCTCCATGTCGGCAATGCGCTCCTCCTCCTCGTACGTGTCCGTTTCCTGCTCCTGGTCCTGCTCCTGCTCCTGGTCCTGCTCCTCCTCGAGGTCCTCCTCCTGCTTGGCCTGGTTGAGGGCCAGCTGCGACTGGAGCTGCTGGATCAGCTGGATTTGGAAGAGCTGCTGCTGCTGCAGATTGAAGAGCGTTTGCTGCAGGAAGGCCAACTGCTTCATGGCCGCCTCGTTGTCCGCTCCATTCGAGCCATTCGCAATGGTCTTGGCCGCGAACTGGGCAATGGCCATCTGCATGTTCTGGATGGCCTCCAGGGTGACCGGAGCTCCGGCCGCTCCTGGTAGGGTCACCTCCGGGGCAGGGGGCACCACACTGTTGGGCGGCGCCTCGTCGGGCATCTCCACATCCACCTCGATGTCCTTCTCCTTCTCCGAAGCCCTCTCGGTGGCCGCCTCCTCCGCACTGGCCTCCGCCACCGGGGAACTGGGCATGGAGCCACTGGCATTCGGCTCCCGCTCCTCGGAACTCGGCTTCGTCATCGCCACCCGGTTGTTGTTATCCTCCACGGGCTCAATCTCTGATTTTACCTCTGTTTTCTGGTCGATCTGGTGCTCCTGCTCCTCGTGCTGCTCCTCCTCCGGCTCGGGACTCCGGCTGGGACTGGCCGTGGTGGTGGCCGTGGTCAGTGGCGAGCAGCCACCATTCTCCTCCTGATCGCTACCGGTGTCTGCAAGAACGGAAAAAAGCATTTCTCAATTAATTGGGTTTCCTCGGCAATAAAATTATTAAAGCACAGCAAATAACAACTTTTTCAAAACGGAGAAAACATGGATCATAATAACTTTCAAGTCATATCAATCAATACATTTTAGTTAAAATACATTTCCTTTCATTTTTCCTAATGTTGTACACTGTTAAAAAACTACAAAAATTGTATGTTAAATATTACTGAAAACTATAAAAGTGCTGATTTTTGCCTTAAGCCAAACGGCACAAAATGTTTTATTTTCACTCGCAATTAATTGAAATAAATCTTATATAACACATGAAACCGTAGCTAGTTAAATAATTATATATAATATGAAATTGTTTTACAATTTAAAATAAATTCTTTGCAAAGTGTTATATTTGTTTTGTACGTAGTTGGCAGTGATTATCATAAGATTTTCTGTGTATACCAAAGAAGCCCATAGGATGCAGTTGGAGTAGGTCCAAAATAGTCAGAGGCTGGTTGAGATTGCTGCCCATTTCCCGATAACTCAACTACCTGTTAACCGCCCCCCGCCGCCCCCTCCGCCCCTGCTGCATATGACTTAATCGCCGGCAATTGTTCATTGCAATGCGTTGAAGTTGCTGGCGGGTGTGGGGATGTTGCTGCTAGTTGCTGCTGCTGCTGCTGCTGCCAACTGAATGCAATTACATTTCTTGTTGAAGCATGTGTTCTCTCTCCTTTTCCCTCAGCCGCAGCTGTTTTTTTGTTTTATTTTTTTCAGCCCACAATTAGTCTCCAAGTCGATCGCTGGCAGTTGCAATTGTTGCTGCTGCTCGTGTTGCTGTTGCTGCTGCTGCTGCTGCTGCTGCTGATGTTGCTGCTGGCCGACTGATGCGATGCTCACTTGTTGCCAGGTGAGCTGTCCAAGGGGAGAAAGCAGTTGACAGCCGTTTGGCCTGGTCCAGTGCCTCTGACTAATTAATCGCGGCGAGCCTAAAAAGCAAACCAAGTCAAAGATTGGTCCACCAGCAACATCCACATTAACAGCAACAGCAACACCGGCAACTTTTGCCGCACACGCACATAAAATATAATTTATGATAAGTCAGAGCCAACGAACTGGGGCCACACTCGTTCGATATATATAATAAAACATATTTCTGCACAAATCAAACGAGTTGGGCGAGTTTTCTGTTTTCTGTTTCTGTTTTTGTCCACAAAAGATACACAGATACAGATACAGATACATGGATGGCGAGTACAAAAAGATATGCAGATAGAGCGCCTGGAGACTATCAGCGCCATTTGCATATCGATCGCATTAATATTATTTGTATTATTACTTTTTGGAGGCGAATTAATTTTGAAGTTCTTTTTTGGGCCGCCTGAGATTCAATTAAAGGCGCTTTTTGTCGATTTCGTTTTCGGCCTGCAATTGCAGTTCAAAAACGAAACCGCCTGGCCGAGGAGTTATGATTATGATTGCCGATAACTGAAGTGTATTTTAATTAATTGAAATTAAATATAATGCTGCCATAAACCTTTCAGGCAGCGACGGCGGCGCGCAACACGAAAAACAAAACAACTTCCAATTATGACGAACATAAAATTGTCTCGAACATGGTTAAGTCATTTTGCAATTGGTAATAAAATTGTTAAATTTACAATAACAATAAACGCAGCTTGTTTATTGAGTTGGTGTTGCCCCAAAGACAGGGAGATATTGCCCCGCCTGAGGCCATTGCCTTAGTCCCCGATTCGATTTCGATTTTTAGTTTGCCGTATTTTAGTTCCTCGGACGCGTGGGCGCCCAAAACAAAATATCCAAACATTTAACTAAGTCTATATATACACCGATTGGGCCTCATGTGCCACCGAGTGTGTGCGAGTTGGTGAGCCGTTTAAAGATTTATTTTTTGTCTACCACAATCGTATTTTGTTCTACTGACAACTGGCTAGGTTCATTCCGCCCCGAGCGCTCTGTATCTGCCAGATAAATAAATATGAAATTGTGAAACGAGACGAAATTATATTTCCCATTGTTGAAACACACAAACCGCTTCTATATAAATTAAATCGCGCAAGTTTAAAGGTGGATTAAGTCAAGCCATAAATTCGGCCGCGTCTGTTGGCTAAATTCGAATGAATTATTCTCGCTCCTCGTGCGCAACTAAAGTGAATAAATCCCTCGTCTAAAGCGATTGCAAAGTATTTTTGACCGCCTTCCCCCGCCCTTAAATACTCATAATTGCTAACCCACTCTGTCCATCAAGTCATTAACCAATGTCAACTTTTCAGCACTTTATGTGTTCAAATATTTTCAACAATATTTCGCCGCAAATAAATTTTGTTTTGGTTTATCTAAGCTTTCAGCAAATCAATTTTTTACTCGAGCTTGGGATAGTAAGAACTGGTACAGTAATTTAAATGAAATACATTTATTTTTAGGAATATGAAAGGATAATTAAAGGAAAGATAAGCCATTTAAATTTATTTTTTAATGAACTCCCCAAAAGAGCAAAAGCAACTTTAAATGTATTTAAACAAAAATTGTAACATAAAATACAGTCGATGGGACAAAAACTTTTAAGGAATATAAACAAAGCTAAAATAGAAAGTACACTTGCTAATGGTACTTAATTTTTTTTATAAATTTTCTTAGATATCGAATATCTTTAGAATTTTTTCTTTCTGTGTGCTGAACTCAAAATCTCCTTGGAATCGTACCTCTACCTCGACATTTTTCAGTTCATTCCTCTAGCACTGACTTTTGCATACGCCTCGACTTTTGTTCTGGGCTGACTTTCAATTATTCCATCATCATATTCAATATGCAAATCGCTGCGAACCAACCGTGAGCTCGCTGGCCTGAGTTGAAAAAAAATGTTTAGCCAATTGGAAAATGCAAAATCAAAAAAGAAATGCGAATAAACTAAATAAAGTACGCGATCTAAAAAGAACGGAGGCAAATCGATTGTGCGCCATAATTGAATAATATATCCAAGTCCGTTCTGATCGGATTTGCTGCCATAGGTCAGCACAGAAATTTAATTAAAGATTTAGGCACACATTTATATAAAAGACTTTGTATCAAAAAAGGAAAATCGCATAAATACAAATGATTAAATAATTCATGTCATTAAATTATGCGAGCGCAACTTCGATTACAAAGTAAAGCGACACAAATTGATGAGCATTTCCATATTCACAGAATTAGCTTTGAACCGACTGAAATAATATAAAGTCCACATACAGACATGTGAAGAATAATAGGGACTCATGTATTAAACCTTTTCGCACATGCATTAATAAAAACATAAAAAGTCTTAATATTACTGCAAAGAACGTCTAATAAGAAAATTACCATTACTTTAAAAAAAATGTTGGTTTCTTATTGAAGACTTGTTACTTTCCATGATTACCTCAATTTATAACCAAAAAAATAATGTGAAAAAAGAAGTAAGTGCATTAACCAACTTAAATAAGATGAATATACTTTTTAAAAATAATCTATTTATAAAGACATTTTTTCCTGCGTTACATAGTCTCCGTATTATTTTTAACTTGACTGTAAATCATATGGAAACAAGCGCCAACTCACTGCAAATCTGCTTCGATTTTCATTTTTTGCGATATTAATTTAATTTATTATACCGTACTAATGAGTTAACATTTATTAATGCCCGAAGCAGCAGCAACATCACACACGAATACACAAGTTATATACCTATATGCCATCATATGCGGTGTATAAATAAAAACCGCGCCAAACAAATTGATAAAAAGAAAAAATATCCTCATCTTTACGCACACAGGCAAAATGTTTATCACCTTTTTAAAGCTTATGGGCAGCAATTTTCAAAATTTAATGTGAACTCATTTGTAATTATGGATATAAAGCGCTTATGTGAGTTTCAATATACATATACACACAGGGTTTGGGAAATAAAATCGAAAGAAAAAAACTATGTATATTTCGATGAACAATTTTCAAATAAAGTATCACTTCATTGAAAATATTTTTAAACATGACAAACGCTCCCTTTTACAAAAGGCACTAAAAAATATAAATAAAGAAAACTTGAATAATTATATTTTTGAAAATGTTATAACCAATATTGCCTCACTTCCTTCAGTCGTAAAATTGGCTTTACTCACCAGCCTCAAAAATTCAATAAATATAATTAAGTTCGCTGGCATGCAAATCTTTAAATATCGAAGCTTTCAAAACCAATTAAAGAAACACGCCTGCCGAAAGGCCTCCAAAAAATAAACATAACACCACCGACAAACTCATTTTTTTGCCTTTCTCAAAATTTAATTCTTCTATATAAAATGAGCCGAAGCCATATTTAAATCATATCGTTGCTCCATTAAAACGAAATCGATTTTTGATTTATCATAAAACACAAGCTTGGAAAGGGGATCGAGGGGGCTAGCCAATGGCAGCGTTAACGTTCAAATTAAATCAAATCAGAAACTGGAAATGCAAAACCGAAGAAATATTGTTTATATGTATAAATTTACCATATAATCGAGGGGAAAACTGGTGCATACGTTACGTTTCGCAGCCATAAGTTTCTAAATTGGTATTCACCATTTTTAAAGACCTGATAAGCTATACTCAAACTTAAAACATATTTAAATCGCCTACGACTTTTCTGTCTGATGCCACAATTATTAATGTTTGATCAAAAGTGTTGTTTCCATTTCGTATTCTTATCAGCCAAATGGAAAACGCTTAGGGCCCAAACTCTTTGTTAAAGAAATTCAAGAAGTTAAGTTGGACAAAAGAAACAATAATGACAAATTTGTTAACCAATTTTAAATGGTTTAGTTTTGCATTAAAATGGGAAAATGCTTTCAAAATTTGTTTTAGGTTCCGCTGATTGGAAAATACTTTCTAATATCTTGCTTTTTTTTTTTGTTAAATTCTTTTACAAATGACAAATAGGATAACAAAATATAAAAGGCAGCCGCCAAACTGTTTGTTTTATATTTCCTTGTCTCGTCTCCAAAAAAAACGAATTTTTTGTCTATTAGAAATTTCAATTATGTCAAAAACGATTTAAGGCATTTCATTTTTGGCAACAGTCAAAGATAATGTTTTTGGTATTGCTTTTTAGCGGGACTCAGTATTTAAAAATGTACTATTTCCTATTAAATGGATTGGTTTCCGCTCACCTTTGTCGGCGCTGCGAGCGCGATCCTTCAGCTGTTTGACAATGCCATATTTCACTGTACCAAATTGTATCATTTTATTGATGGTCTCCTGGTGATTATCCTTGAAGTCACTACGCATCGCACACAAAACGTTGGACAGGTGATTTTTCATCAAGAGAACTTTTTCTAGCACTTTTGCGGTGTGTGTTTTGTTTTTTTTGATATATTTTAACTTTGCTTGATCATTGCACTTTGTTTTTCTTTTGGTTTTTTTTTTAAAGGGGTAAAATAACTTTTCAACACTTGTGTTTTGCCGTCGGCAGTGGGAAACGCGTATTACCGCTGGCCTTTGCGCGTGTTTAATTTATTTATCGTGTTTAGCTGGTGGCCAAACTATAGCTGCCCGTTGATTGTCATCGTTTGTGGAATTTTCGCGGCACTTAAGGAAAACTCGCTGTTGAAACTGTGCGCGTTACGCATACGCAACGTGGGCCGGGATGCGGCACTGAGAGAAATCGAGTGCTCGCTGCGAACGTTCAGCAACGCGCGTCCAAACACGAATGACACAAACAATAACAGCCCGCCAGACCTCGATGTTCGAACCGCTCGGCTTTTTTCGGCTGACTTCGTGAGCGGACCGGTTTGCGCGCGTGTGTGTGTGTGTGTGCGTTATTACATCCTGACAATCATTCAGCCAACCCACCTTATGCTCACTCACACTCGCACGCACGCACACACGCCACGCTCTCCCGCTCGCATTTCATATTATTTTTCATATGCGCCTCTCGCTCGCTCTCATCATAATTTTTATTAAATTGCTGTTACTGTTACTCTTGCCGGCCCGCTCGCTCTCCCGTGTTTTTTTTTTTTTCGCCTCGAGGATGCTCAGTCGCAGTCGCCGTTTTTACCTGAGCATTATGAGAATTATGAGCTGCTCTCTTTCGCTCTCTCTCTCGTAAGAGGGAAAAAAAGAAGAAGCACCGAAGCGACTTCCTTCCGCCTTTTGCGGCTCACCTTTGCGCCATTGTTGTTGTAATTCTGCATGCCCCGTCTCGCTCGCTCTCTCGATTAATAATTTATCATAATTTATAGGGGGAGTGCCCCCTCTCCTTTAGGCCCTTGGGCAGCCTGCCATCTCGCTCGCTCTCACGCAAGAGAGCCTGCCATTTGTTGCGCCCTCTTTCGCTCGCTCTCGCTCGCTCTCCCGCACTCGCCATCTCTTTCTTCGGCGCAGTTATGAGCGTTGTTGTTGCCTTTTTTAATTTCGGTTTTATAAGATTTTGTGTTCTTCGCTATTGTTCGTATAAAACCCCCTTTTTTATCGGGTAATTCTGACTTGGGTGACTCCGCTTATTCGTCAGTTTATCTGTGTGTTTGTGTGTGTGTGTGGGGTGCTCATGTGTGTGTGTGAATATTATGAACCATTCATCAAAATGTTTTCTTTTTTTCGGCTTTCTGACTTTTGGGCAACTCCCACTTCTTTAATTATTTTCTTTCCTTCTCTGCAGCCGAGGAATTTTTAAAATTTTAAGTCTTGGAATTAAAAACTTTTGTACCAGTTCCCATTTTAATTGCAAATGTTCTTTTGACTTTCTGAAACACCTGGCGATAAAGGCTTTTTGTGTAATTTTTTAACTGCACAATAAGAAACATTTGGCAATTGAGTTATGATTAATAGAGTAAGTGATTGTTTTGAAGGTTTCTCGGTCCAATTGTGAGTAACCATCAATTAGGGAATCTATATGGAAAATCAATTAAGCAATTGTAATGGTTATAATTTTCGACCAATTTTGGTCTGGCCAGAGAACATTTTATTGTTTAGATAAGTCACTGAACATTCACGAAAGGAATTCAGTTTGAAATAAAAAACATCTTGAGCTTATAGTAATTCAATTGTAAATAAGGCGGAAACAATTTAAATGTATAAAAATAAACCAACAATAGAATTAGTTTCAAATACACTATTAACGCTTAATCATTGTAGTTTTCAGCTAGAAATATCTTTAAGTCGAAACATTAAATTTAACATTTGTAGGTTAACAAGGAATTTATATATTTTTGAAGAGGTTTTTAATTTATTAAAAGTTCTTTATAGTATAATATATAGTAATTTAACAAACTCATACATTACGTTAAGAAACTATCAACAATCTAGTACAACTTTATGAGCGAATCCCCAAGTCTGGGAGCTACTTACACCCAGAGATTGTCTTCATTACAGGACCCCCAGGAATGCGATAGACTCGGCTGCGAAAGAGAGGGCACGAAGGTCCTCGGGAAAGAACAACAATAAGCTGAAATAAAAGGAGGCATTAATAATGCTGCCTGCGTCGACGTCGCTGCCGCCAAGTGGGCCGTGGGGGCGGAGGAGGGGCTGTCATAAATTTCTGGGAGCGAGCGAAACCCAAAGAGAGCGCCAATAAAATGCAGAAAACGGGAGGAGTAGGAAATAATACGTATTAAAAGGCGAAAGAAAGACGGCAAGCAGGGAAAAAAAGTGAGGAAAAGAGTCGAAAAGGGGGAGGGGGTGGGAAAGCCACCTTGCGCACCAGTAAGAAAAAGCCACTAACACCAGCTGAGAGTATGGTAGTGTGTGTGCGAGAGAGGGTTTGTTTATGTACAGGGCAAATACATAATTCATAACGCTCATATTCGCTCATTTTGCAGCAGCTTCGACCAACGAAAAAGCGGATCTGCCCTTTTCATATCTGCCATCATATTCGCACCCACACCACGGCATTGCTCGCACACACACACACATCTCTCACACTCACACCAAGGCTCCCCCACCCACCACACACACACAGCGCAGACAAGTTTTTGATAGACTCTCATAATCATAACGAAAACAACAACAGCGCATCGCTGCCTCTCGCTCTTCGACTGCCTACAGGTTGCCTTCTCTCTCCTTCTCCCTCCCTCGCTCTCTCTCTCGTACATATGCGCGCTCTGCGCTCATTTTCGAAATGCCAGATATTTCTGTCGCACTCTTGCACTCCGTTTCTCCCAACAGCACTGTTCCTCTTCGCTGTTAGGCTAAAAGTCTTATACGCCCTTAACATACCGTACTTCGAAAATGATGTTAAGACTGCAGCTAACAGTGAAATGGCAGCGCCGTGATGGGGAGGGTAGTCTTGAGGGTATGATTTCGGTCGGGAGGCTTGGGAGCGTTTCCTACGCTTTTCTGAGGGGGTCCCAGAGTCGTGGCGGATGTGGGGGAGCTGGGCCCAACTTTTGGGGGGTCTCACGCTGGTGGCCGAGTTCGGAAAACTGAGAATTTGGGGAAAAACCGGTAAAGTTCAGTTTGACGGTCTGGCAGCACTGTATTTTGCACATGGGATGGGAAAACTGGTGTATTCGATCACTTTCCACGGAAAAATGATCGCGGGGACCTGCCCCCCACCCCGGGCTTCCGTCGACACCACTTTTTTCTCGCGGAAAATGCGGCGGAACGGAGAATTTCGCGACACACAGATTTCAGGTCCAGGCAGTGTGACCACCTTCGGGTTCAACGCAAATATAGGCGCTTTCTGGCCACTTTCGCAAGGCGTTACGGGACATTTTGCTTTTTTTTTCTCCAAGGTGGACATACAGTTTGTTCAAAGTTCTTAAGTTACCATACTTGTGTTCTTTATATAATGGACCTTTTCAGGCTTAAATTCTTTGCCATGCCGCACCTGCGCGCCCAGGTGGACTAGCACCTCCGACAGGGGATGATCTGCTCCGGCCAAGCGGGATCCTTAAAAATGGTTCTGTACTATTTTAATTTGTTTTATTTTAAATTTATTAATCGAAGCGTTAGTATAATTCGTTGATTATATTTTAACCATTATTGCCCACAATTTACATTCATTATATACAGCAAATAACATCATTTAATAATATAGATGAAATTCATACATACAACTGTATTTCTCGAGACTTCATAAATACGGTCTTAGCTATTTTATGTCTATGCAGATTGTTAAGGCATCGTTAAATTTTCAAGATGGGCGCGATATATGGCTAGATTTTGACTAGCTTTGAATAAACAATCTTTAAAATCCATTAGCTTCATAACCATAAACAATGGAGTAGATATTTTTTATACTAATTCGCAGAAGCTCAATAAGGTCAGTCAATGAATTGATTAATTAACTGAACTTTATTGAGGAAATGTCAAAACTATTTGTTTTGGTTCTTCTTGTTCGGTAAAGTTAAGTGATTTTTTAAAATATTTTTCATAATCCTTTCAAGAGCTAAAATGACAATGACTTGCAAAATTTTAACTGAAATATATATTTTATATATGTACATATTAGATTACATAAGAAATAGATTAAGTCTTCCTAAAATTAAACAAACACAAATTTACAAAACCAATATTGAAAGATAAGACATTTTATTCAAAAAACATCATTATTATTACAAACTTATTCAATAGCTAAATATTAAAATGTAGTTTTTATTTGATGAAATAGATCATCAAATTTAACTAGGTAATATTAAATATCCGTTTTATAATACACACTTCCTAAGAAATGTTCTTGCCCCTCGCCCAAAAACCCCCAAAATCCTAGCACAAATTTCGGAGGTAGATCTTTAATTTATCCCGGTTCCAGCCGTACAGTAGTCTTAAAATGGTGATTTCCCTTTTTTCAAGTCGCAACTCTCCATCAATTATTCATTGCCATCCATCGATTGCCCCGTTCCCCTGCAAAACAATAATCAAAAATGCAATCGGTAAGCTCCGGTTTTGTCACCCCAATTCTAAAACCCTTTTCCCCGCTTTCCTTCAACCTTCGGGCGTTAATCTGTAGTCCGAATTTCAATATCTGTCTGCGGTCTCTTTGTTGCCCTAATTTAAAATCCAAAACGAAAACAACAGCAATATCCGAAAGTAAAAAGAAAACAGAAATTAAATGCAACCGAAATAAAATAAAAAACGGAATTACTTCCGTTCGGCTTCGGATCGGTTTCCCCGGGCAGATTTATGGGGCAAGGCACTCAGGATCCTGCCGGCGGTTCCCTCAAAGTCCCCGAGGAAAAGCGGCTAAGGAAAACCCCGAGACGGAGGAAATCGACTCGAAAGTGAATGGGAAAATAAAATGCAACGGGCATTCCAAGTGCCCAGCGATCTTCGGCATAATAATTGGCCACTCGCGGAGCCAGAAGCAAATGTTTTTCCGAGACATAGGCACGTTCCTCCAAGTTCCCCCTTTTTAATTACCGCCTGCGTGTCCTGGCAAAAGGATTCGGCCGCCGTTTGTTCTGCCCGCTCGCGCTTTTCACACTTGTCTCATTGCCGCTCATAAAAAATTATGGCAGGCCAGCCCCTAATTTTAATTTCCTCAGAATATTCGACCAACGATATATGGTCATGTGAAGTTTTCAACTCTAGAGGTGAGCGATGTTCGTGACTATTTGGAAGAATTTATTTTATGAGGAATATTATTATTTTTGCTTTAAATCAGTTAAAATTTGATAAGAAAATCCCTGCCTTGATTAATTTACTAATAAGTCTCTTGAATTATAGTTTAATACAAATCCGATTACATTTAAAAATACTATTTTACATCCATTCGCA